ATTAACAAACACAGATCTCTGGATGGAACTGAAAGCGTCTGGCTCCTTCTTGCACCTCACTGATGATCCCACTCCAGGATGGCGGTGACTGAGACGGACACACAGGGATCGTATGGACACACACCAAAGGCCTTTGTGCCAGGCCCAAAGAAGTGGCACAGACTGAGACCAAGTCTGCTGAGGGGCAAAAGCAACAGCATCATGCAGGTCTTTAAGAGTTTAACATACTTTTCATTTTTCAACATTAATTCAATATAAAAGCTCTTCTCAGCCCAGCTCTCCACCCTGTCTTGAACTGGCTGTTTGAGAGTCTCCTCCCTGCTATTATTAGTGGGTAATTGCTTAACATTTTCTAAAGGTAATTAACCTCGCCTTTGAAATGGGATGAAACCCTTAAATGGAGCAATATGATGAAAGCCATTCTTTTGTGTAATTTAGTCCCATCAGCCAATGCCAGCCATTAAGCACATCAATTTCTAGCTCAAAGGCAGTGGTGAAGAATAAGCAATATTTTAAAGAAAAAACTCAAGATCTTCACACTGCCAACCTGGACTTCTTCAGAACAGAGCCGTTTCAGGCCCAAGTACAAGAGGAAGCCTTGGCCCTGGGCAGGCACTGTGTTTGCTAGGAGTCCTGTCAAGCTGACGAGTAGAACTGGCAGGCCTACTTGAGCACTCTGAAAGCGCACCAAGAACTTATCACTCAACATTAAGCCTTAATGTCTCAACATTTTGAGAAAAATAAATCTGTCATGTTGCAGAGAGCTCTGATACTCCAGTGCAGCCTTCAGCCCCTGGGGGTGCATTTCCTGCAGGACCTGCTCTGTGTGAGCGGCTGGGCAGCTGGGGAAGAGCCCAGGCCTAGGTCAGTGATGACTGCAGGCAGCATTCTCATCCCCACCTCCACACACGCTGTGCTGAACGGTTCCAGACGAATGGAGATCAAAATTTTCCTCCTGCTAAGGGAAAGATTTCCAAGATGGAGACTAAACAACACCCCTGGAATCTCGCTCCAAGCGCTGGGAAGTCCCAGTGCCAGCAAGCCACTTTGTGGTTGCATTAGATGCTCTCTTGCGCCCTGTGGTTAACTAGAAGTCATTCGCCTGAGAGCTTTTATCACCCAGAGGCTGCATTTAGCTTTTTGAGTGACCCTGGCCCACTCACCAAACCAGAGGGAGCCCTGAGGGGCTTTTTAAGGACCATTCAGAAATCCTCAAAGGTGCCAGGCCTACGGAGAGGGAAAGGCCCAGTGATGCCTGGGCGCCCTCTCAGGGCAATGCACTGTCCGCTCACAGATTGTGAAATCCGAGGTCGAGAGTTTCAAGACACGTTTACAGACAAACATCTTGTTAGTAATTTCCTCAAATGGCTTACCAGTACTGTTTTCCTGCATTCTTTTTGTTGATGATTTTATATAACCGCAGAATCCTTTTTTCTCATGGAAACTTCATCATAAAATCCTATACTAAGGGGGGGAAAAAGCAACAGCAAAATTAAACCCAGAGATTTTGATTGTGTCTATCAGTTCTGTTTATTTTGATGTAAGCATTGGTGGCAGCTCTGCAGCCTCCTTTGAAAAGGCTTCCCATTCACAAACATGTGATTTGAGTTGGTTTCGTCCCCCTTTAACTGAGGCTTTCTATTTAAGGACATGGCATTTAGAGCCTGTGATTCCGAGGGCACTGTGTCCCACTCTGGGAAAGTTGCTTAATTCTCTGTACCTCAGCTTCCTCGAGTGCAGATGGTTGAAAGAGGATCACCTTCCTTTCAGGCTGCTCAGAGGATCCAGGGCTCCAAGAACAGCAGCACTGCCAGCACTTAGGATGACGAAGGAGGAAGGAGTCCCACAATCATGGCATCACCACGCCACACTGGAGAACGAAAGACTGGAGTAACTGTTTACTCCGTTCTAATAGTTATCTCCATTTTACAGAGGAGCAAAGTAAAATATACATCAGGGAAGGAAGACAGGGAGTGGTGGAGCTGGCATCTACAGTATACGCAGGGATTATGGACTTCATGTTCTGGAAGTTTTCACTAATAAAAAAGACCAGGACAAGCATCTTCCTGCGGAGGATCTGAGTGCCGTGTCCTGGCTTTCTCTGGCCTTCATTCAAGGCTCCCACCCTTCTCATGCAGAGGAAATGATCAGTACTATCTAGCACAGAAGATGCCGGGAGAACCAGCCAAGAACCATGCTGAGAGTGCCTGTCAAATGCTGTGAACTTGAAAGGAGCGGTCCGCAGCTATTACAGAGTTCCTAACGCGGTTATGATAAATGTGCTCCCTGACACTTGGTCCCTCCCATTCTTTTGTAGCATATTACAAGTCTGCTATCTAAGCTATGAAACTCAGTGTTTTCAAGTTAAGGATTTCTGATTGATTTTAGTTTCTGAAAACAAATTTCCAGGGAGGCAGGGATGCACTTATGACTAGATGGGCCATTTCTGTGGAAGAAATGCCTGTTGCCATTCAGGTCATGCTCTGCTGGGGTGATGAGAATGGGCGTGTCAGCGATGCTCTTTTTTCCTCTGAGGGCAGAAGCTAACAGAAGGCAGTGTATTGCTTGGGGAAGGAGCTCACTTTGGACATCTTATAGCTCATGGGCAGGGGGAACCACTGTGCTTCTTTTAGTCAGGTGCCCACAAAATACAAATACATACGTGTTTACAGGAAACGCTTTCCTTGGAAGAGGAGCCCAGATATCTACCTACCCTTGGGTTCCGTGTGGCAAGGAGGCTTTCTAGAGCACCTCTATCTCTTATTTAATCCAGGCAATAAAATACTGCCTGAGTATTCTCTCATTCACATGCTAGATAGAGGAGAGAGGTTCACTGGCACTAATGTGAAACCATGGCGCAGTCTGGTTAAGAAGAAGGCTTAAGGCTGGGTTTGAGCCTTGAAGACTCGAGTCATGAGCCTCTTTGCCTTTGCAGAGATAAAGCATGGAGCTGTGCATGTCATTGTTCACGATGATGATGGAGAAACAGAGTTTGCAAAAATGAACAAGTCAATGAACAAGACACAAAAGGAAAACACTAACTTTTCTCAGGATTTCATACTGTGTCTTTCAATCTGCATCATAATTCCTAGCCTAGGATTAAAATGTAATTAGCCTGTGAGAAGCAGAGATGCATGACAGTGTATTTGTTTATTATTCAGTAGCCAGTAAGTACTTACTACATGCTAAGTATTGTTCTAGATGGAAGGGAATAAAGTTCCAAAACTGATGGACTTTACTCTCTGATGGAAGAAGGTAGAAAATAAATCAAAATTGCACCCCACCCAGACTCACACAGTCCCCTGGACCTTATCTCGAGGCATTCTGGAAGGTGACACCCAGGAGCAGATGACTCACACCAAGCTGGTAGCCTGTTAGACCGCTCTCTGCAAGACAGCATCTGGAGGCCTGGTAGACCTCGCCCCGTCTTTGATGTGTCCCACGTACTCTGGGGAGTCAGGTGGAAACATTCTCATGAGAGCTGAAAAGAGGAAGTAGGGACATTTCTCCATTCTGAAAGGTGCAGGGATCCTGCCCAGGGAAGAAGCAGCTTGCCCATTCATCGCACTGCTCTGGCCCACAGCAGCAGATGGGCCCCGCCTGCCCCTGGGCACCCTGCAACCGCAGAGCCCAACGCTGCCTGCTACAGCAGAGAGGCAAGGCGCCAGCACAGGAGTGCAGTGGGGCACGTTTCACAGGTGACCCTGCTGGAGGACAGGCCAACCTAGGACCTGGGACTGCCATGGCCCAGAAGGAAGCGCGGTCCCCTTACACCTGCAGTGCAAAGCGGCTGTGGCTCAGGTGATGGAGAATTTGTGACCTCAGTCTCTGCTTTGAGAAGCTATGCTTGTCTTCACAAGGCCTGACAGCCCAGTTACAGATAGGTTTATTCAAGTACCTCAGAAATGATTAAAAAGACAAACCACCCTCTTCTTGTAGACTGCATTAATGAGTACTTCTCTCACTGTTTCATTGAGTTTTCCTTTTTTCTTTTCTTCTCCTCCTCCACCTCCTTTTTTTTCTGTTTGTTTTTTGAGATAGAGTCTGGCTATGCAGTTCAGGCTGAGTTTGAACTCAATATGTAGTCCAGACTGACCTTGAACTCATAAACATTCTCCTGCCTCAGCCTCCTGAGTTCTGGGATTATAGTGGTGTGCTGCCATGGCTGCCCATCAGGGGTCCTGAGCTAGCAAGAACACAGTCAGTATGGCAGGGTGCACTGGCTCCCCGATTATCAGGCCCAGAACAAGGTCAGGATGAACACTGAACAGGAAAGGCTGGTAACCTCTTTCACTTTGGTCTTAACCAAGATGCTTGCCAAAGGCAGACCAGGCAGATGGGACCTGAGCATCTGGTGACCACCATCTGCTGACATCTTTAGGTTTCTGGACTCAGCATTAGCTTATTTTAGGGCTTCTAGCTGTCGGCACTCAGGGAGCCCTGGATATTTGTAAAAACAACATGAATGCCCCTGGCTAGTCCTGTTTATCCTGGTGGTGTTTTCAAATTTTCCCCAGCTTTTGGGACCACCAGGCAACATTGTTTTGTTCTGTCTCGCATCTTTAAGATGGAAAATTTGACTCCCAGAAGCTGAGAAAAGCCTCCTTTCTCCTTGTCTTAGCTTCTGGAAAAGTCTGTGTCCGATTACTTCATCTGAACTGGGAGACAATGAGGACCATTGAGCAGAGACAAACACTGGCAAATGGTACACATTTTTAAACTTATTTCAAAGTACAAATTCTCATTTCATTTCATTTTCTGAGGCTCTGAACTTATAGACAGTTTAATTGCCTGTATTTAGGATAGGGAATTCCTAAAATGCTGAGTATAATATTTGGATTTCACGAAAAAGATACCATAATACAATCCATTGTTCAACTAAGTAGAGACCAATTCCTGTGTTTCCAACCTTGGATCAAATATAAAAGAGAACATTGAGCTCTAATTTGAAGGAATTCTGTTGAAAGACTCAAACAACAATCCACATTACGCGCAGAGGAGACAGAATTATAATATTTAATGGACAATTACTTACTAAGACACATTTATTTTATATCACTTTTTTAACAAGACCAAATTGTCAAACTGTTTAAAATTCCACTGAAAACATTTGGATTATCACAAAAGTGTTTACTCTTTTCTCCTGTCGTGTGTATTGGATTACTCACGGAGAGCAATGGAAAAAATCTGAGAAATGCTGGTTTCAGCAGCAACTCAGACTTCATTTCAGAAATATCATAGACCGTGTAAACAGACATTATTATCACAGCTACAGTATTATTGATTCAAAGTAAGGTGCAAGGAAAGAAAAATTTCCAGCACTATCAGCAGAGATAACCCTTTGAAAGATGATGGCACAAAAAAAACTTGCAGTCCATGTAACAACTGGGCTTACTTGGTGGGGAGAAAGAGCTGTCTCTATTTTGTTTTGCTGAATACCACCGTTAACTGCAGGAGTTATGATTCATAGCCCATACAATAACATAGGCCCTTATAAAGTCATTCTAGAACTGTGGAATCATCACTTATGAATATTTTCCAACCATACATATCCTAAATCCTTTGCTGGGTAAACATCCATATAAAAGCACATTTAGAAAAGATTGAACTATTCCATGCTACTACATCAAGTCATTCTAACACCAAATGGACATTTCCACTGTTTTCCTCTGCTGAGTTTCAGGGCTGTAAGTTACACTGAGGCCACCTGAGGCCCACCCAAGGGCCCGCGGCAGGAGACAGCTGGCCCAGATGGCGATGGCGTCTCTGATACAGGAACAAGCATTTCTAACCAACTCCAGGAGATGTGGGTTTTGCTTTTTGGGGATCATACTTTTTTTTTGTCTTTTTCCTTTTTATCGGTACCAGGGATCGAACTCATGACTGCCTGTTTACAAGGCAGGCACTTCCGCTGAGCTAAATCCCCAGCCCCCTTGGGGATCATACTTTAAGAACTACAGCAATTAAAAACATAGGCCATGGACAGTTATGCCCAAGTACAGTCTGTGGAAAGGAAGTTTCACATAGTCAGGCTGGGCCATGCAGAATAAAGACTAGGTTAAGCCGTGCCGGAGGCCCAATTCGTCCAGGCTTCCAGCAGTAACCAGCGCCTCTGGTCTCCTGCTGTAGCCTCCTCTTCCTCTGGAACAGTTTTGCTTAGTCACAGATCTTAACTTACTCTCAAATACGAGTTAATCATAGCTCTCATCCCTCTCATAGGCCTTTGCACTTTAACAAATGGACCCATTCAAGACATTCATGGTAACTCGGCAAGCTTAGTTACACTTCCGATCTGGTGCCCACCAGAATGATTTGGATATCAAACCTCTTCTGCTGCTCTGTTGCCCAGATTCTTTAGTCTACAGGCACATTGTAAATTTGTTTCAAGACTTCCAGATGTTTCTGCCACTGCCTGCCTGCCCAACATCCTTCTCTGCTTCTCCTTCTTTCCACTTGAAATGCAGTGCTGAACCCTTTCAGATTCTGTGCTCTGGAAACTCCCTGCTTCCAGGAGCAGCTACCCAGTTCTCAGCCCTCTCCACTCACACTGACTCCAGGGCATCCAAGCTCTTGTTTGTTCAGGTGCAGAGGTTTCTGCTAGGTGGGATCCCTGAGAACTGCCTGTTGTACAACTCCTAGCCATCCTGCCTGCCCTGGGGACCACAGCTCAAGTCCCTCAGTACCCATCTCAGGTGTCACAGATCATCCTGAATCAGCACTCTCTCTGCTGAGCTGCAATGCATGTGTGCACTTGAATGTCAAGACCACACCATGGCTGTGCCTTTCCCAGGAAAACCTGTGCACAATGAGGACACAAAACATATGTCCTTGTAACAGGCCACTCACTTTCCTTGCACCTGGGGTAGCCTAGCACAGGAGTCCCTCACTTTCAAATGCCACTCTTCCACTGTCTCCAGCTTACCATAATTCACCCCTCAGTTTCCTCCTCAGGGAGGCCTTTGCTGGTCCCCCAGGGAGACACAGGCTTACACTTGCCTGCTACCTGATCAGTCCCTGAGTTTTAGCCTTGTATACATGAACACCTTATTCTTCAGATTCTAAGCTATTCCTGGCATGAATAGGGCCTTTTAGCTACAATTGCTATCTGCCGTTGCTGGAACTATACCTGGCTTCAAGGAGGGGCTCAAAGGGGTTTAAATGCCTCAACATTTCTCATTAATTTGGAAATAGTTTACAGGGAGAAAAATATTTTTAAAGCCAGGAAGTAGCTTCAATGTGATCCAGTCCTCTGGAATTGTGAGGGGGATATAAATTTACTTCTAGTTTCCTTGAAGAGAGAATGTTGGGCAAGAATGGAAGTCCTTGGCCTTGCGAACCCAGTCTGTTGGAGCTGCTCTCCAGAATGCGCCAGCCCTGCCCTAGACAGACTTAGCCCTTGGGGCAGGATGAGAGGGTCAGCGAGGGTACCTGCTTTGGCTGGTTGCAAATGGAAAAATCTGTTCTTAATTCAAGCATTGACATTTTGAGATCTACAGTTGATTTTGCAGGGGTGGTGATTTAGTCTGGGTTGATTTAGGTCCAATCTGACTTCTGAATATTCTCCAAGTTGCCTCATCATAAGGAGTGAGGAAATATTCTATGCATCAAAGTTCAAACCAGTAATATCTGCTCTTTGCAAATTTATGGTTTACCTATGAATTCTGTTTATGTAGGTATGTTCATCCCTGACTGACACATAAAATTTGAGGCATGCTAGGATTTAATATGTAGGTGCTTTTCACCACTTGCATATATGTACTCTTCTGGATGTATTTTGGGAGAAACTTTGGGAAACTTTGTTTTTTAATACATCTCTTTGTACTTGTGTCTCAGCACTTGTTGAGTACCCCTCTCTTGTAAACTTGTATGAGTTAGCCTTTGTTTCTATAACAAAGTGTACACAGTACGATAACTAACACAGAAGTTCACTTAGTTCACAGGTTTGTATGCAGCATATTCTGATGGAGCAGCTTGCGCTCCAATGACCCACCGACCCTGGTCCTTTCGTGGTGGCTGGCAGTGGGGAGCACATGGGGAAAGGAAGATCGATCGTATCTTGGGATAGGAAGCTGCAGTCAGTCTGTGGCCCTACAATGTCATTAGAGCCCCCTCCCAAGATCTCCAGTAAGACTCAGTCCTTAAGGACCCCACCCCATCACTACTGCACTGAGGCCAAAGCTTCCAACATACACCTCCAAGCCTGGTGCTGCTGGGCAGCGGCTTGCTCTTGGTTCCAGCCTGGCTGTGGGGAGAGGAGAGTTGGCTGGTGCTGACATTCTGCCTCAGTGTGTGCTTCTGTCTTCTTTTCCTTACCCCCATTACCTTCTCTCTCGGAACTGGTGGACTGTCACTCCTTCTAACCTCCAGCGTGGGGGCTTCACTAGTCTACTGGAACAAAAGCCGACTCAATCTGGACACAAATCTGAGGCAAGAGAACCCTTAGTTGGACCTAGTTTTGGCAGCTGCCTATTCAGACAGGGACATTCTGTCTACCTGTCCTGTGAGCAAATGAGAGGCTGCCTATGCCAAGTGACTTGTTGCAAATAAACAGAAGCACAAGACAGACTGAATGAAATCAGAAACCTGTCTGGAGTAAGGAATTTTACCCTTTGCTTAGATGTTAATGGTTCAGTTTTCCTCTCAATCTGTTTAAGTGAATTTGGGAGGAGGGGGCGCAGGGTCTTGCTACATAGTCTAGGTTGACCTTGAACTCACTTTGTAGCCCAGGCTGGTCTAGAATTTGCAACAATGCTCCTGCCTCAGCCTCAGCCTCCCAAATGCTGGGATTACAGGTGTGTGTCACCATGCCTAAGTTGGGTGGATTTTGTACTCACTCCTTTACTGAGTTTCATTAACTGTGCATTCCCAGACCTAGTGCATGCTTGCTTAGAAGTGTGATTCATCCAGGTATCTGACAGCTTGCCTGCCTGGACTGTAAGTCGGGATCTGAGGACTGGGAAGGAGTTTAAAAGGCTTTGTAGTGCACTCCCATTTGACAGATGGATTCTTTCCATCGTGGTCATGCTGGTGGTGTGTGTTGTCTTTGTCTAAACACTTCCAGGGATGGAAAATTAACTGCTTTCCAAGGTCACCCATTTAAGGCAGCTCTAAGAGAAATATCTTCTTGCCATAAGCCAGATGTCAGCTAGGGTCAACTTGCCCTTTTGAAAAAGGATTTAAGTGAAATTGTTTTGTGCTTTCATTCATTATTTGAATTTTTATCTGTTGTGTGATAATGACAATTCTTTCAAAGCCCTAGTAATCTCTGACGTTCAGGAAGGTTATTTACAGCTTCGCTGATTCCTCCCGCCAAAACCTAATCCTCCCTTTGTGGATCTCTGTCTCCCTGGTGGCTGCTTAGTTCTCACATGGACAGGCCTTTCTTCCTCTCTGGACATTTCACTTAGCCTGTGGGAGTGTGTGGGGGGACACTGACAGGAGGATTAAGGTGACTGTTGGAATTTACAGTGCAGCAGTGAAACCATGGCTGATTACATATTAGAGATTCCTCTTCTGCAAAATCAGTCACTTCATTACCAAGCACTACCTCCCCCACCTCCGTCAGCCTAGTGGTGCTGGTGTCCACTTTTCTTTTAACTCCTCCCTTCTTATCTCACACTTCTATCCCCAAATCCAGGTCACTTGTGTGGAACAATTTGGTTGTACCTTTGCTTCCTCCAGGATTTTTTCCTTGGACCTTGACACCTACACCTCAGGCAGTTTGTTCAGGCACGTTCCAAACCCCAGCCCACCCACTGAATGCTGTGTGGCTACAGAAAGTCTAGGGCCAACTCCCTGTGGCTTCTGTCCAGTTCATTGCAACCTGTTCATTGCAGCTGAAAGGTCAGCTGACCTCTTGCCAGAAAGAACAGTCTTTGGGACTTGGGCTTGAGTCCTGCATCCATTTCTTGGGAGCTGCTCTGCCGCCGTGCTGCCCTTTTCGACTAGGTTCCCCAGGTGTGAAATGACATTTATGCCCTTTAAATGGTCTGCATAGGAGTTCGTCTGGGCCATGCACAGGGTGTGACATGTAGTTGACACCGAGCACTTTTCCCTCTCATTTCTCTCTCGTGCGGCCTCAAACTTCAGCACCTGCAGAGGTAAATCTTTCGCAGCCTACCTGGATCTATCTGCCTCAGCCTCTTACTCCTACCTACTTGAGATCCCCCTTCTCCTGGGTATTTAATTTGATCTCAGCTCTTATCCTCACCCTTGGACTTCACTTCATAGTTATCCCACTCTGTTCTCCAGCAGTGTGGACTCAATACCGGCCCCTGATGAACAGCTTCTCAGCCTTGGAATCTCACAGAACTACTCTCCACTTCAGCAAGGACTGCGTGGTCATTTGCATGCTACTCTCCCTGCAGGAAAGTCTTTGCTGTAGCTCCCGCTGGCCAGCTGCTCTCTGCTCCTCTAGTACCCTGTGGTTATCCCCATAGCAAAGCTCAACCGGATTCAATGTCACTTGTGACAAAGCTGTCCCTTACGCCACCAGTCTCTTGGGCCTGAGACATGCCCTGTGTCAGTGTTTTCTCTCAAAGGCACGGCACAGAGCAGCCCATAGTGATAATAATGCAATAAAGTGTGCTAGGTGATGGCTCGCATTCCTGACATGACCCAAAGAGAGATCACATCAGTCACTAAAATAAAACCTTCCTTCCTCCTTGTTATTCTGTTCCCTTCCATTACAAACATACTGTCATAGGAATGTGTTTCTCCAAGTAGTAAAGAGTTGCTAAATTTTCTGCTTCAATAATAAGTTAGATAACTTGGGTGAGATCTCTAGAGTTTAGCACACACAGGTGAAAAATAATAATCAGGTGTGTAGCTGCCATTGGATTGTTCATGGGTAAGTGTGCAAAGAAGGTAACAGTGTAAAAGAACAAACCACAGGACAAAGGTAAGCGCCAGGTTCTGATACCAGCAGTGAAGCAGGCGGAGGCCTTAACACAAGACATGGGACCTTAATTTTACGGTCTTCTGCCAGTGTAAAACATATGTAGAAGGAAAAGAAATGTCTTCTTCTGCTGTTTTCTTGTATGCGCAGCCTAATTTGAAGACTGCTCCAGACTTTATTGGCACTAATTCATGGACCCGAGTATGACTGAATGTCTTGCCTGAGGATTTGCAGAAGCATCAGGGTCTCTGAGCCCCCTGAAAAGTGCTGGCCACTCCAGTGGTGTGAAGACATGGAGAGGATGTGAAGAGTTTGTTAGCAGCCCCTCAGGGAGTTGCTGGCTGTCATAGCTCTTCCAAGGCATCACACAAGGAGTCTCCCACTGCTCCTGAAAAGAAAATATATCCTGATCACAGTTCTCACAGCCCATATGACTCCAATGTGTCTCTTCAGATTTTTAAAGTGAACAAACAAAATACTTTGGGACATAGTCTTTGTTTTGGTGCTAAATAACTTTGTTTTAAATATGATATCCCACAACAGAGTACCTTAAAATCTAGTCATGGAGTTGATACTAAGACAATGCTTTCAATCTATTTAATGATTTTCTCTAAAGGTTACCCTGATCTCAGAACTCACTCAGCCATTCCTATTTCAGAACAGATTCCCTGCCAGGCTGCCTTGTGCTTGCAAGGTGTTCAGTGGGCATCGTGCCTGGTGTTCCTTCGGGATGGCTAGGGCGGGTGACTGTTGCCATTTCCATCTTAGAAAGCACTGCTAAAAGAAAACATCACAGCCTGAGGGGGCTGTTCCGGGAGCAGTGTAAGGCAATGTATTACTTCCATGGTCACACGCTCAATGCACAAAGGGTATCAGAGCAAAAACCTGTTCTACAAAAATCAGAACGATCACGGCTGGACAGGAAAGAGTTCCTGTCTCTCTCTCCATGCAGACTGGATGCAATCAACCGAGAGCTGGAAGGCTGCTCACCAGTTTAGGGCTCAGCTACTCCCTTTCTGTGTTCCATCATCAACACTCAGCTTGCAACTTGCAGCTTTGCTGTACTCAGCTCTGTCCTCACTTTTATCTTCCAGCCAGTGGGAAAGAAGAGCGAGAAGGAGCCACGCCTGTCCTTTCCTTCTGAAGGACACAGTTCCCAATCTGTTTATACCTCTTATGCGCACATCTCAGGGGCTAGCACAGGCACACTGCTGTATCAGTCTGCAAGATGAGCTGAAGCATGGACTTCCAGCCAAGATACAGTGGATCAGCTATGGCTCAGGGTTTACCTTGTTAGCAAAAAAAGAAAGAAAAGACAGAGAGAGAGAGAGAGACAGAGAGAGAGAGAGAGAGAGAGACAGACAGACAGACAGAGACAGAGAGACAGTGAGAGAGACAGAGAGAGACACAGAGAGACAGAGAGACAGAGACGGACAGACAGTGAGAGAGACAGACAGAGAGAGACACTTAACAACAGCTACCAAATATCCTTAAGTTTCCTTGTGACTTTCTGCTAATATAACACAAGCAAAGCAAGTCACCTAAAGTCAGTGTCAGACTGGTAGTAATTGACACTGTTTTTCAGTAAGTGTGTTTTAATTGTTCAGCTTGATAAAGAGACAGAAGGAAAAGACATGTATCATGCCTTTCCACTGTGACTCTCGTGGTGCGAGTCAGTTTAGGAACACAGAGTAGAGTCCGCAGTTCTAGTGAGTCCCAGTGTACTAACCTTCTGCCCTGCTCAGCTCTAGGAATGGAAGGCTTTATTTGTGGACCCAGCCTTGACCAGGGCCACAGCAACCCCATCCAGATAGGGGTTGACAGCTGGAGCTCAGGGCCAGGTGTATCTATAGTACCCCAAACTGCAGTCATCCTGAACTCTCCAAGTCAGGCATTTGAGCTCCTGCTACATTCAGTCCCTTTCTCCATTTGTCCAAGCATACCTGTGACAAGCATGCCACACACAATGCAAGGGACTGGGGCATAGGGCCCTGTACAGGCTGCTGTGCTATCATCGTTATACCCACCTGCCTCTAAGGCTGGAAAGCTCCCCCCCCCCCAGATTCCAAGGGAAGAGAATCCAAAGACCAGGTGGTCAGACACCATGCAGAGGAAAAGCAACCAGAGAGGGAGCCACAGGGGTGCAGGCATCGCTGCAGAGTCTTACAGTGGCATGCAGGCATATGAAGTGCTCCCTGAACTTGAGACCACATTGTGGAAAGTACTACCATCCCCAGGAAGGGATGAAGTGGAGCAGCTGGGAACAGGAGGCCTGAGGCCTGATTGCTTCCTCAGGTGATTCTGACCCTCAGTGGAACATCCAAGAAGCACATGCCTAAGGAAGGAAAGCTTATTTCACCATCTGGCAAGATATTTCATTGACAACTCTAAAAACTTCCATGTAAGCTATTTGTGGGTCCCCTGGAATTGTAAAAGGAATAAAATCAGTGCATGTTTTCTGGACTTTTTGAAGGACGGTGTATCAAGAAGGTAGCATTTAAACCAATGAGACTGTGACACACAAAAATGAAAGCTCAGGCGAAACTAATATGGCCACTCCATGTGAGAGCATCAGGGATCTCAGTGGTCACCCTGCACAGCATGCTTGTTGAGAAAGCTATGGCCCTGCTTAGCCCTTGTGGCCACCTCCATCTGTTGGGGACAGGAGGAGCCGGGTTGAGTGGCTGGCACAGGGAATGTGACCAAACTTAGGAACGTCCTTTGGATCTGTGTGAAACAGGAAGTGCTGCCCATGACCAGAGCTGTCCACTGTGAGCAGAGATCAGCTGCCGGACTCCATTCTGGCCACCGGGAATGACAGAAAGCTGGGCAGAATGGCCACATAAGCAATCGGAGGGGACAGGCCGTCTGGTGGCTGCTGTCCCAGGTCTGACACTAGCTGCCCCAGCTCTGTCACTCAGGACAAGATTCTTAGCCTCTCGGGTTGTAAAGCAGAACTCAGAAGAGAACTACACTTAATTCTGCCCCAAATACCCTTCCTGAAAATACATACTCTGTGAAGTTACGGTTAGGCTAACAACTATTCCTGTGAACAGAGTCCTGTGGCATCTTGTGTTTGCTTTCCTTCAAAGCTGTCCCTTGCTCTGTTCCTGAGGAGCACAAAAAATTATAGCCCTGAAGAAAGTCCTATAACACCCTGGGAAACCCACAACATCCAGGTTTGTGACATTCTGTCCCCCCAAGATTCAAAAAGTTCTCTTTTTGTCCAAAGGCTAAGTTGTGAAACTGTCACTAAAGAATAACTGCCTTTGCCTGTTACCCGACCTGTTTTCATGCAACTAAACAGGCCAGTCCCCAGTCACAGGTGCAAAACCTGGAGCTTTTCTCTTGTTTGGGACTCAGTCTTTTGAAAAGAAGTCTGCCTGAGTCAGGTGTACCTAATACAATCCCCCTGCTTCCCAGAGGACTTTCTTATCTCTTAAACTCTGCAACAGTTGGACTTTGGTTTCCTTGTCTGTCAGATGAGAGGATTGGAGTCCATCTTTTCCAGTTTTGTGTTTCCTAGGGATCGCTATTTACATGTCCACTGCGTTGGTCACCAAACCTGAGATGACTGACTTGGCCAGGTCACAAATGGTTGTCACAAGGGAGGGGAAGGTACTGTTGTCATCCCGTGGGAACAGGCTGAAACACACAGGCCAGCCTCCTCGTGAGAGAGGTCATCCAGCCTACTGTCATCAGTAAGGTTTTAAAACACTAACTGAAAGGGCAATGTGGTGATGAGTTCATTCCAGACAAAGAGTCATGACGTCCAACCTTCTATGTTTTTTCAAGAGAATCTGAAAATTTGGATTTTCATGTAAACTATTCCAAATTTAAAGTATACCAAAATGTCAATTTTTATAGTAAAACACTCCAGGGCCAAATAAAACAGGGCTTCAAGACCAATCCTGTCTATGGGCTGTTGACCAATAACATCTAACTTAGCCACATCCTGAATGATTAGTACAGGTCCATGAAGAGTGTGACTCTTGCATCTGTTCTTGGTCACACAAGCTGCAGCTAAGCAGGCTTCAACCCCTGATGTGCTCAAGCACATATGCGGTGTGGAGAAGAAAGCACTAAGTGACATATCCCGACAGAGGTGTCACTGCTTGCCCTCTGGGTTGCTAACTTTGGGGAAGAATCACAAAATTCTCTCAATAACAGAGTCTCCACTGGGTGTTGACCTCTATTGCCACAGAATAGTGGTGCCCTGGGGCTCAGAGAACTTTAGGAGTTACCCAGCCCATGGCTGAACTAGATAAGTGAAGACTTTGCCTGTGAACTCAACATCCACTTGTGGGAAGATCTAGGACCAGTAGGTGGGTGTCTTGACTGTGCATCCCAAACTCTCTGGAGAGAGGAAGGCAGGTGTTAGGAAGCAGCAGCAGATTTGTGCACCTAATACTGACGATTCCAGATGTGGTCCTCCAGCACTGGTTTTCCAGATGTGCCCGTGTAGCCCAGATGCTAGAGTTAAGCGAGCAGGCACATGAAAGAGCCTGTGCACTATCACCATCTTACGTGTGTGAGGTCCACATCAGGGTCACTTTGTCTCTGTCCACCCCACAGGCAGCCAGCAGCTGTGCAAGTGCCTGGTGCTGGATGCCTGTGCAAGTGTGGTTGGCTCAGCATGGACACTTTGCTCTTAGAACTGTGCAAAAGTAGCTGTCACCTCACAGTGACTGCTGAGAGGCAGGGCTGTCCCCAGGCACTAGAGAGGCAGTGAAATCATTACCACATAGACTGTGAGGCTCCAGAACTAAAAGATAAACCTCCAGGGCAGAAGCCGGTCACGGATACCCAAACCTCAGCCTACATTTTGCCCTGCACCTCCAGCAGTTTGTGCCTAAGACTGGTTCTCTTTACATCTCTAGTTTCTTCGGCTTCTCTGGTGGTCATCATCTCTTGCAACAGGAGGAAGGCTCCCAGGACACCGCTGGATGAAGTGTGTGCTCAGCCCACAATTCCACCACATGGGGCACTATCCTGCCTCAGGCCAGGTCTACTCTCCTTTCTGTTTAGGTGCCAAGTGTAGCCAACTCCACTGCTGGCTGTAAGTTCTCATTCAAGTCTATCTTTGTTGATCACGGTTATTGGGGGTACAGTGGAAAAGCTTAAGATTTTTGCATTCACTTTCATTTTTTCTTTCTTTTTTAATATGCATGCTTCTTTAGTCCCCCAAGTCCACATGAACACCATTGTCAAGAAGACAGAGCTGGTGTGGACCTGGCTGCTACAGCAGGCTTTACGTTCTTCAGGGTAAGGACAGAATTTTCAGTTACTTGCAAGATGTACCTATAAACATTATTTGCATTCGAACCAGCTTGGTGTGTGTCCTTTTCCATTAACAGGAACACTGCACTGCTTGGGATGTACGGACTG